AACAAAAAAAAAAAACCCTCCTACTTCCGGGACTGGTTGTACGTGATGACGTGTTGTTGTGGTACGTAAACCGTTCGGCGCAAAATTCAAACTGTGAACAGGAGGAAAGGGTTCCTGCTCCTTCTGTCCTTTGGTTCTGCCTTAAAAACAAGGAGCATCGGTCAGCAGGACTGCTCTGAACTTTAAACCCATCAGGTATGTTGAACAGGAAAGTTTCTCTTTGCTCGTGAGCCAGTTAGCAAACACGGAGATTAAAGCTAGCGGTTGTTTTGCTAACCCTGTGTTAGCATAACGTTAGCATGGTTTTAGCTCCATCGGACCTGCATGAGTTTAGGTTTGCCCTGGCAAAATTACCGATAGTTTACCGATAATTATCTGATAGCTTGAATAATAATGACTACCGGAAATGAGATTGTTAGCTTTGGACAACACGTTAGCGTTTTTAAACATTTTTTGTTAGTGGATATCACCCGGTGTTCGGTTTCTGTGTTAATCAAACCATCCTTAAGTCATTAAACCAGATACTTCATCCAATTGTCTGTCCTTCCACCCAGTTCACTCCTCCATCCCGGTTTTATCTGCAAACCTGAGGTTTAATAGATCCTTCATGGTGAGTTTGCAGTAAACTGAGCCAAGGTGGAGTTAGTTTATGCTTCATGGATATAAGCTCTTAAAAGTTATATTGGAAATCACAAAAAACTATTATTAGAAACATCATTGGAATCCCTTTATGCTCTATTGCATCTGCTTAAATGCAAACGTTGCCATTTAGTAAATTTTTACTTATACCGCCATAGATTCCACCTGATATAAATGTAGATTTAACAATATTAGAAATGAAAAATAGAGATAAAATGTATATATTTTACTCCATAACAGTGCAGGAATATTTAGAACACTTTCATAATTATTTAAAAATGCATACAGATGAATGATTACTTAATTTCGGTTTAAAAACGGAATAATATTTTTTACAAAAAAATCCATCAGATAGCAACAAAAAATGGAATAGACTGAA